AACAAGAGATGAAGAAATACACAATAAAGATTTAAGGAACATTATGAAGTTAGTCGAAGACAACCCTGATTTAACCATGGAAGAGGTCGCGAACATCTATTATGATGTATAATGGATGGGAACACTGGCAATGAAGTATGAAAGGGGCAATCTTTTGGTTCTCGATTATGAGTATAAAAATCTGACAACATATGTGCGCCAGTTACATGAATATTACATGGCTCAAGCAACAGAGACGGACGACTTGGGTTTTGAGGTTATTATCCGTTCGCCACATGTTTTCCAATATCCTGAAGAAGAGAAGTTCGATGTTGAGTGGGAGTGCTTGTTCCAGCTATACTAGAAATGCTCTCTCGATGTTCAAATGTTGACGTTGTGGACTATGTAAGTACCCTACACGCACGATTTTACAATTAACTACTCTCTCGAGACACAAATTGTTAACTTTTGAGCAATTTCCATGATTTTATGTAGGTGTATAGCAAAATTTTGCATTCTAAAAAGCAAATGGGATTACATAGACTTCTTGAACCCCATGCGAGTCAATGAGAGGACATGTCTAGGCCTCTATGGATGTGATGTGGAAGACCTAAAACAGAGATTGATTGCTGTTTTCGACGAATTCACAATGAAGAAGAAAACCCACATACTTCTAGCCTACAACTACGAGTATGTGTTCTCGGCTTTTAATTTTATGCTTCTTTTTTCGTTAAGATTATTCGATAATTAGGATTTTGTGATTTCAGCAACCATTTTGTCTTCATTTGTGTTAATCTTACCAAAAATCTGCTCGAGGTGTGGGACTCGAAGAAAAAACCATTTCATCATCTGGATGCACTGGTGGCAGTGCTGAATTAGTAAGCGATCCTAATAACATATTATTTTCTAATCACACATATCGTTTTCTAATGTTTCTCCTTTTAATGTTGCTTAGTGTCCGAAGAAGACATATCGGTGGGACGTCGGTCCCATTCAAGGTTGTCGAAATAGAGGGGAAATACCTATCACAGCCGGCGGGAAACAATGAATGCGGGTTTTATGTAATGTGGGCAATGCTTCGCTACATTGGCGGGAAATCGGAAGAAGCCGATAAGTTGGTGTGTATAATCCCCATTTTATTTATGTCTGTTAATAATTCAACAAAATGATTTACTGTTCCTCTTTGGATATCATCTTTTTTTAACAACAGCGCAAGAAATATAACCACAAAAGACTGTTAGACATGGAGATCATCGCACTGCAATCGGAGCTAGCAAAATTTATCTTAGCCGAGGTATTAAAAAAAGATGGAGTATTTTCCATTGCATAATCCGTGAAGTACAAGGACCAGTATGGCCTAGAGCGGCTCGCTAGATTATTGTAAGAAGTCCGAGAAGCATGTGTGAGGTCCAAGAACATTTCTTTTTTATTTTGAGGGATCGAGATGTGGATAAGAACATTTGAATTGTAATCGTAACATTTGTAATATTTAATATTGATGGACCTGTCGTCTACGTAGCGTATATAAAGCGAAACCTGATTACACGAAAAAATATAAATTAAAATAAATTATAAAAACAATAAAATATGAACGGTCCATCACCGCCGGTTAGCAACAAACCGGCAGTGTTGTCATAACCATCACTGCCGGTTAGAAACAAACCGACAATGTTGGCTTGCTCAACACTGCCGGCTTGAACCATGAACCGACACTGATAGTTACGACAACATTGCCGGTTTGATCTATGAACCGACACTGATATTTACTACAACACTGCATGTTTGATCCATGAACCGACAGCGTAGGCTTGCTCAACATTGCTGGCTTGAGCCAAGAACTGACACTCTTGAAGCAACCGTCACTATCGGTTGACACTACAAACCGGCAGTGTTGTTCAACTGGATACTGCCGGCTGGAGCCAGGAACCGACCTTGTTTCCTGTAGATCAGTGTCGGTTTTTAAGGACCGGCAGTGATGTCAACCCCCATCACTGCCGGTATGTCACTATCGGTTCAAAATCCAACAGTGAAGTGGGTTTTTGAACCGACGGTGATGTCCAGATCTGAGGTAGTGAGTAGAGCTCACAACAATGCTTCCGACAACGAACATGTCACCAAATAGGTCACCATTGTTGGCCAAAGCCAAGGACCTAGCACGGCTTTGGCTCGACAATCCTCGCACCCAAGCCCGAACTAGCCACATCGTGGATGACCACGACAATCGAAACCAGCTAGAGATTGTTGCTGCAACGACGAGGTCACAAACATGCGTGAGCTATCACCACCGTGCCAACCCATTGGGGCCACCTCCGATCCGTCCTACATGGCATCAGCCATCATGGGAAGCCACATCATGTTATTGCACCATGCAAAGAGTGCCACCGATGACGTTATATATCGTCGCCCCTCAAGCTAGCATCAAAGCACAAGTCACCGTCTGCAACAAGCCGCCATCCGTTGGTTGTCGCAGTGGTAGTGAGCCTGCCACGGCATGCATGGCAAAACTGCATTTATTTACAAATACTCTTCCTGTTCGATTAGAACGCTTCACACCAAAATGGTAAAAAAAAAACTCTTCCAGAAAATGTACAGTGCCCTCTATTTTGTAGGCACCAAATTAAAGCACAACCACCATTAGATTGAGTCACCTGATCATAATAAGTCCCATACATCCCAAATCTATTCTGCCGGCACCATAATTTGAGCGGCCACCGGCAGCGCGGCATTCACCGGTGACCGGCACACCGGGCAGGTGATGCGCGATCTCAGCCACGCATCGATACACCCCTCGTGGAACAGATGCATGCACGCCGGAAGCTGCTTGACCACCTCCCCGCGCTGCAGCTCTCCGAGGCAGACCGCACACTCGTCACCGCCGGCCTTCTTGTCGTACTCGTACGCCGGGAGGGCCGCGATCGCGGAGGCACCAAGGCCGTTACAGTGGACGACACCCGGTTGTGCTTGCAGCTCGGCATGCGACGGTCCTGGCTCCGTCCCCGGTGCCGGCTGCTGCACTTGCACCGGGAGGCTCCTGCCGGCGTTGTTGTCACCTATGTGGTCGATGAGGAACGGCCAGTGGACGCAAAGGAGAACGGAGACGAAGACGAGGATACTGAGGCCCCACCGCGCGCCGATGACATACAGCATCAAGCAGCCGGCGAACATGCAGAGTGGTATTAACACGATGCACGCGATCCTGACAAAGAGCGCACCCCTATCTCCTAAGAAGGACATCGTGCACGGTGAGTGCCGGCTTAATGAATGGTAACTAATATCCGAAAGAGGATAATTATTGATGTGAGGAACAGCTAGTCTTTCTAGGGAGAGTTCGTCGTTAGTAACAAGAGAAATGCCTCGAGGTTTACAGCTACCCGTCTTAGTTTTCTCTTGCAGCAATTTTGATTGGCCAGCGAGACAATATATCTACTAGGTAGATAGTAGTCAGCATGTGGATCAGAAAATTGTACGTGACCCCATCTTAATGTTAATATATTGGTGGCCTTCATATACCTCAGACAGGATTGACAAAAACATATATGGCAGAAATTCTTATACATATTGTGTAACCCTCTAAGCGGCATCTAAATTACCAACATTTGCTATTATAATAACCCTATAAATTTGCATATCAACTATCTACCTATGCCAGTATGAAAGATAATGCATAGTAACCTATGTCACAATCACGGTTTCCTTTATCGGCCGAAATCTCCTGATATTTCCGATATATCTTTTTATCCGTAGGTGCCGATAAGAAAATATCTATCTTTTTCGTACAAATTTTGTTTAAATTTATTTAAATTTACTTAAATTCACTTAAATTCAAATTAAATTTTATTTGAATTTGGTCCGATATTTCCGATATATCCTGTTTATCCTCTTTATCTGTGACCCCCGATAAATTTTAATTTCCGAAAATGAAAACCTTGGTCACAATCACATACAAAATATATGTTTTCTCATCCTATATCTCCCAACAAATGTGCAATAATAGAAAACATGGTAACATGTGAGGCAATATAAAATGAGATTTTAAATTGTACAAAATTCTCTTGGAGTCAAATGTGCCAATGTTGTTTTATTCTCTATACCCCGAACAAGCAATATATATTTGGTTACAAAACAGCATATCTTGTGGTTGTCCTGTTTTGTAGAGAAAGAAGTGTTGAATAATAAGAAGCCTGACAATAAAGATTTCTATAGTTGAGTAATGTTGCATGTACAGTGGGTAGATCTTTATTTTCACGCCGTATGGGTAGGAGATTATCTCAGGTCTTTAATTTGTGACCTTAATTTTTGCAACTTCATCTGGATAAGAGAATATATTTTACCACCCTGCGTAGTGAAGTTTTTTGAGCTCTAGAGTTTTGGTGGATTTTTCGTGGCAACCTGCAGCACACTCGCTCCTGAACAAACTGCATTTAGAGCCTTTCATTCACTGACAATCCGCAACCGGCAGCATAATCTTGAACTACAAACACTGCTCCCCAAACAGAGCCGCAGATCGAATTAAATGGCCGACAACAAAACTATTAGAGCAAGTCTAATAATACAGCCAAATATTGACTATTAGACAAGTTCTAAAAGTCAAGCTATATAATAGTGACTCTTACTTGTCTATAGAAAACTTTTTTATTGTTAGGTTTACTCATGTCCCAACTCATATTTTCTAATCCTCCACACATTTGCATATGCATCCGTGTCCAACTTATTGATTGCATGAAGGTCAAACTCTCATCTCTTCTCTTCTCCACGTTAACATTTGCTTGGCTATAAGCCAATTATTATACTTGCTCATATAGGATTACAGCAAAATCCGTAGTTCAACGACTGTCCTGATGGTGCACATGGATCTCCACGCTCGCCGGCGCAGCCGCCACGATGACAGGACTACGGCACACCGGGCACGTCCGGTGAGACCACAGCCACAGGTCGATGCACCCTTCGTGGAACAGGTGCGTGCACACGGGTAGTTGCTCCACCGTCTCCTTTGGCTTCATCTCTCCGAGGCAGATGGAGCACTAGTCACTGCCGCCGCCGCTCTTCTTCTCGTACTTGTACACTGGGAGACTGGAGATGGCAGACGCGCCAAGCCCGAGGGCCGACGACTCCTGTGGAGGAGCGGCTATGGACTCAGCAGCTGGCTGTTGCCTCATGCGGTCGCATAGCCCGATGACGAGGAGGAAGGCGACCAGGAGGACGGTGACGCGGGCCATGCGTCCCAAGAGGCGCCGACCAGGGACAGCACCACAATAGTTACCATCAACGGAGGGAGGACGATCATGGCGATCTTGAGCGGCATGGCGGACGATCAACTAAAGGCTTGAAGCTGATTGGACTCTGCTGGGGCCAGCTTCTAATAGAAGCATGTAAGTGTCGGTTAGTTCGCTAGGAGCGGAACTCTAGATTGCCTCAGTTACAAGTGTGACGGCCTGTTAACAGTCAGATTTGACTCATCGCTCATCGTTGCTGACAAGCTCCCTCCTTGTAATTTACGTGCTTCGTTTTCTCCAATATATAGCGCACGATTTTACTGTACTTTAGGCGCCTACACCGGCCATACCGATGTGGCCACATGTGGCGACGTCTGCACTTACTAGGATTTGTAACTGGCCATTTTCTTTTAAAAGTTTAAATGGGTTACAATAATTTCATATCAGCGCGCTCTGGGATTAAATTATAATTCAATTGAACTAGGCTGTGTACTGGGTTGGGTATCAAATGTTTAAATTGGCATTGACAATGAAGTTTCATCAACATAGATATCATGTGTGTCCAAATTTCATCTCTAGAAGCCATGGCAATATGTTCACCTTAATTTGACAAAGAACCATATTGAAATTGACATAGCAAATATGGAACATAAATTAAAACAAGATGCCAAAGATAATTTATTGGAGGCAAATTGATTCCCTATTTTAATCTTTGTGTGGTAAACAATCAATACAATATTACTACACCAGATTAATGCATCATTGTCGGGTCTAAATTTGGCATCACTATCCAAATGGTTCCGGCCGGGAGTAATGGCCTAATGGGTAGTAATATCTTGCCTATCGTTGCTGGTTATTCACATGACAATGATACCATCCTATGACTTCCGGGTCTAGCCCAAAAAAGGCAGTGATAAAAAAATGTGTTTGCAAGATTCAAATTGAGGAATTCAACACTCTCTCAAGCATCCATACCATCTGAGGTGCATAACACTTATTAATATACAACTGATGCTATTGTTTTAACTACACATTTACAAATCTTATATTTGTACATTTGACACTCTAAACGATCTCAAATGAAAAAACTTGTTAACTACAAAGTTATAGATCTCGTCGAGTTGTTGTTAACTTTTTCTCCATTCGACATTTGTCAACCATCTCAAATCCAATCCGAGAACATAAATTGAATATTTAGACATATAAACCATCTAAAATTAAAAAGTTATCAACCACAAGCTTTCATCTCTTTGAACTCTACAATTTTGGTATAAAATCTATCTTGACCTGACTTCACATCAAAAAGTTATGATTTTTTTTGGGGAAAAAAACCTATCACTACCTATTGCAACCATGAACTGGTAGTGATAATTAACTTTTCATTGCCGGTTCATGGTTGTCATTGCCGGTTATAGCCATGAATCGACAGTGAAAGCCCACCTATCACTGCCGGTTGTACGACTATCACTGTCTATCGAACCGACAGTGATACATTATCATTATTGATTCCAAAAGCAACCGGCAGTGATAGTCCAACAATGATTGCCTATTTGGTGGTAGTGTATACAATTAATATGATGCCTATGATGAGGAGGCAGACAGTAAAGCGGTGGACAGTGAACAAGAGAGGGAAAGGACGGCTCCGGCAACCTTGGAACCTGATCTAGCGACGCTGCTTCTTCTCCGTTTGGATGGACATAGAGGTAGAGAGCGGCAACACCGCTTCTTCCCCATTTGGATGACACGGAGATGGAGGGTCACGTCTTCCCCATTAGGATGGACATAGAGGGTCACGTCTTTCCCGTTAGGATGGACATAGAGATGGAGGACGACGATGTTTCTTCTTCGCCGTTAGGATGAACACATAAATGGAGGGTTCTAGGTGGCGGCTTGGTGAGATGGGAGTACGGTGACGGCATGGGAGAGAGTCCATTGGAAACAAAAAGACACGCAACTAGAGGGGAGCGGAGGGTTGTGGTGTTGTCTTGGAGAGAGAGTAGGGTGGTGGCGTGGAAGAGAGGATGCTTGGAAACAAAACGAGTCTGAGAGAGGGGTCGGGAAAACTTTTCTCGAGAAAAAATTGTAGAGTAGGGTGCTCCCTACACACCGGAGAACGGGAGAAATTTGAGGGGAGTTAAAAGGATCTTGTTGGATTAAGTTTTTTTCTCTGATCCTACGAAGAAAAGTGGAGACCTTGTTTAAGGTTAAGGTCTTTGTTAGAGATGCTCTTATCGCCAACCGGTGGCTGGGTTGAGCATCCCACCTCACCCATCTGGTGACTCCGCCTAAACCTCCACCCTCACCATATAGTTGTAACCTCGTTCGAAAATGGGCTACTTTGCATTCATCGCCTCTCCCCAACGAATGGTCTTCTGCAACCTGCGAATTGTCTCTGTCGCTGCTACTTCAGGTGCGTGTCCTGATCTCCCGTCATCACAGTTGTGACCTTGAATTCAACTTTGGAACTCGGTGTCATCTGAGAATTGAGATTGAGAGTGCTGAGGAAGCACCACGATAGAACTATCCCTTGCTTTCAATATAAGCAGGGTGTAAAGCCTTTGATTAAAAAATAGAACCGCGTGTCCTTTGTGAACGCCACGATGGAATCGTGTGGATGACAGCATCCTGGCACTTCTTGGCTTCTTCCACACCGTTTGCTAGCACATGTGAACGCCACCCGCTTCAGCCTCTTATGTCTCAACATAGTGGCAACAGTGATATGAGGAAGCCGAATTCTTTATTCATCTGGGTCAGTAGATCCTTTAAACTTGGGGACAAGTCTTATCTATCTTTTTCTTGTAGAATCGAGGTTATGTTACTTATGTATATATAGTGGCCCCTATTCCTAACCAGTGGCTGGTCAGTCGAACAACTAGGTAACCTCTTGGTTGCCTAAGCAATGCAAATTCGAGTCCAAAAGGAAAAAAGAAGGATTTACATGTTCGCAGTATTATGAATACGCATGCCAGGTTAATGTACTGTGCACATATTTGTAATTGTAAGACTTCAGTGCAATACAGTAAACCAAAAGAAATAGCATTTATCGTCATGGCAAAATATAAATCTATATTTAAAGCAAGGCGAAGTAGAAGGCTGTCATCGAAAGATAGAGTCCAGCCCTCGAAAAATAAAGTCCAGCCAGACAGATTATTATGGCTTGCATCAGCTCCCGAAACTCGCAAGCACGCTGCGCCGACAGATGGGGCACGTGGGGCAAACGAGCATCCACCGAACGATGCAATGGTTGTGGATAGGGATGAAAACGAATTACGGATATCAATAATATTATATTTGTTTTTATATTTCTGTTCGTATTTGAATACGTAATAGGTAGCGATGGTGACGTAAGACTAGAAAATGACACGGATTCAACGTGTCTCCCACTGCGGCCGCGCTCCAATCGTCTGCCGAGGTCCGTTCCGCCGATGAGCTCGCACCGGTGACCTACGAGCCACTCCGTGTCATCGAGCTCCGCGCCGGCATCGAGCTCCGTATGTTTCATGCTTTTCAGATATATGTTTCATATGTTTAATCTAGACGTTGCATGTGTTTAATCTGGATGTTGCAAAAGTATATCAGTGTTGTGTATATTGCAATGGCTATAAACGTATGTTGCAAGTGTATGTTTTAAATGTTTGAGCTGTTTCAGATGTGTTGCAAGTATTTTATCTAGATATTGCATATGTTACAGTAGCTATACACATATGTTGCAAGTGTATGTTTTAAATGTTTCAGCTGTTTCAGACGTATGTTGCAATTGTTTTATATGGATATTCTATATGTTGCAGTAGCTATACACATATGTTGCAAGTGTATATTCCAAATGTTTCACATGTTTTATACATATGTTTTAAGTGTTTTATCTAGGTGTTGCATATGTTACAGTAGCAGACATATGTTGCAAGCTTATGTTTCAAATATTTCACCTATTGCAAGCATATGTTCCAAATGTTGCAGCAAGTGATCCATGTTGCAAGTCTTTTTATTACAGACATGGGAAGCAAGCGCAGGCAAAGGCGGTCCCCGCGGGCGCTAGCAGTCCTTGCGTGCGCGCGGGGCATGGGTGGTCCCCACATGCATGAGCATGCAACACTACAGCTTCGATTCACTCCCACCATACTATATATGTATTCTCGATGGAGTGTGTGATGGTGTTAAATCGTAAACCCACATGCATAGCAGTCGTACCAAGATTACAGTCAATCAGCAAACATGAAAAAAACTAGCTCTTGTAGTTCAGCTAGGACAACATGTCAGTCTCACATGACTAGTAGGCATGCACCATGCAAAGTAGCACAGCAGGCAGGCGTGAAACAGTAGCAGGTGCAGACAGGCAAGCGCGTGCTAGGCAGGCATGGGCGTCCGGACGCTAGCCACGCCGTATATATAATTATGTTGTATATGCCAGGCTATACTATATAAAGACAAAGAGGTCTTGCACCGAATCAGGTAATGAACGACTGATACCAAAGGCAATTAGTTGGCCTACTTATAGCTTGATAACTCATCTCCCCAGCTCACGCCCAGCATCGCCCCCACGCGGGCGGCACGGGTAGCCGACCGAAAACCAGCGCTACCGCCGGAGCTGGCCACCGGCAGGGTCGCTCAACTGGCCAAGATGGCGGTGGTGGGGCCCTCCCTCCCTTGTGTACAGCAGCATGCACGATAGCGGGTCGACGATCCCTCCGCGACCGAGTAGCATGGAGCTTGGTGGAGTGGGTTGCCTCAGCTGCGGTGGCGCCGACTGGTGCCCTAGCTAGCGCATGGGATGGCGGCAGGCTTCTTCTCTTCTCCTCCACATGTTCCCTACTACAGGACTTGACGGCGACGACAGCGACGCCCAAGGCCACAGGTCCAGCGCCTAGACAGTCGGATCTGGTGCCCGAGCAGACAGATCCAGGCCCCTGGTTGTTGGATCTACCCTTCCCAGGCCGAGCGATGTGTGGCTAGTGGCGGTTGCAGCTGCGGTGGCAGCCGGGACTCCTGCGGGCGCTAGGGTTGGGCTCTTCTCTCCTTCGTGTGCACCCTCCCCTCACAGCCTTGGCTGGTGTGGCGGCGACCGACCAGGGCTGTTGTGGCGGCTGTCGGGCCCCTCTAGGAGCCGGCTATGGCTGGGTCCGACGACGGCGGTGGTGGTCCATGCAGGCGCTGGGGGCAGCGCTCTTTTCTCTGCATGCCCCTCCCCTCACGGTCTTGGCTGCAGCGGCAGTGACCAGCCAGGGGTGCTTCGGTGGTGGCCAGGGTGACAGGCCAGCCTGGTGCGGTGTCTACGGTTGTTGTCAAGACGAAGGCGGCGGCGGCAGCAGGGGGCACCGGATTCGGGCCCTGGCATCAAGATCCAGCGGCCCCAGGGCAAGGGGCAATGCCCGAGTTGGAGGGGCCACACACCCTATGTCTACTGGTGGTCATGTTGGTAGCGACAGCGGCGGGTGCCAGAGCCAAAAACGATGGTCAGTAGCAGCCTCTGTGTGCGGCAGTGTGATGCGAACGGTGGAGTCAGGTCCGGCTCTGTGTGCCCCTATCGGAGTGGGTGGTGGCCGACACAGCTGTGCGGCTGCTGCATGCAGCAGGCGCGTCGATGCCCCTATAAAGGTCATCCGTGGAGCGGCAAGACAGTGGCGATGGCGGTGAAGATTGGCAGTTGGTCCGGTTTCACGATCCGGGGTTCGTGCTAGAGGGTTGTTCGGCGAAAGCCTTGGCAATGGCAACGTCGTTGGATGCCATTTTCCTATTGGGGCGTCGTTCTTCCCCTCTAGCATGTCATCCAACGGTGAAAACCTAGTCCACTTTGGATGTGGGATGATGGCGCCATCGACGTTGTTCCCTTCCTGAAGTTGTCACATTTGGATTGTCATCATGACTTTAATGCTAGGGAGGGTTCGTGATTGGAAGTCAGAGCTGCTCTTCGGTGTTTGAGCTCAGCAACGATGATCAGTGGCGGTCGTTACCTTCGGACCCGTCGGGGGTGACTTGTGGGTGGCCTGCCATGGGAAGTCGGAGCTGCTGGCAGCTTGATTGCCATGCTCGGCAATGATGACCCATGGCAGTGTGTTGTGTTTGTACTCAGCCATAATGCGTGTGGTGGTTAGCCCCTCGGGTGCCTTTTTGGCATCCCGTCTGGCTAACCTTGTACATTATATTCTTTCGTCTTTATTGAGCAACAGAGCTCCTGCCTTTGTTTCCAAAAAAGTCCATTAGTTAACTGACCCGAAGGGTAGGGCCGACTCATATTTTGGTTGATTGGATGAAGAATATGTTGCCACAAAAAATTGATCCACACGACACCACACAATAATTATAATGCTTTCACGACGACGAACAATTAGTTTCCGGGAGAAACTAGCAAAAGTATTCTTCACTTTCGTGAAGGAGAGCCGACCATTTTTCAATGGAAAACGACAAAGGTTACCGATCCATAATGAAGATTAGAGTTTGGTATTGTGATGTTGCAGCTCCCATTGACACCATTTAGAAGCTCATTTGTGCATTTGCATTATGAAAAATATTGCTTATATGTTTAGTTAGGTGCCTAACTTTCAGGGACCTTGTACAATGTTCCCATTTCAGCCCAAAAGGGATCCCGGGCTCCCCTTCTCTGTAGTGACTTGTTCTTCCCTTTTTATCTATTTTTAGAGAATGAAACTTGGAGATTACGATCTAGACTTGTTTCTTACTAGAATAAGATCACCCCCTCGATATAAATGAGAGGATTACGAATCATTTTTTTTTATTATACACTTTTTACCCTATTTTATCAATCTCTTGTTGTTCGTTGCATCTTTCCATGAGATCCAACGACGTTCGAGGTAGCCTTGATGATATTAGAACAACCTCCGGTGTGTATCTCTTAGACGGGTCCTCCCGGGAGTTGTTCCTGAGTTCTTGCGGCGATGGACAGGCCCCAAATCGGTCTAACCGATCCCTACATCTGTCTGATTTTGGGTTGATTGCTACGTGTGATGTGTCGTGTGTGACCTCGGGTGTTTTTGCTTGACCTGATCCGACGTCAACAGTTGATTAATACTATGACAAGACGTCACTTACTTTTTCCTAGTCGAAGTAAAGAAAACGTCCCCCAGTCTATCTAGTTTTCAGCAAAGGAAGGCGGTAAAGATTACTAGACCACCAAGTGAACACATTGTACGTGACCGCTAAGCTACGACGCTATCACTGAGATGTGCAAATTGTAATAATTTACTCGCAGATAAGAGTTAACAAGCCGAACGTGTGAAATTAATAATAGCACAATATATATTTGCACTGGTACTTAATTACTCAAAGGTCGCAAGCTAAAAATGTAAACAATAATGCATGTCCAGAAATATCCTAATCAATGGTACTCTGTCAACTCTCTCAGTACGACACCACCACAACAAACCTCTGAGAACAGGGAGAAATCAGCTGCTAATTCACAGCAACAATAATATGTGTATCTCATCAGGCGGCGGGGACCGGGAATCCGATCCCGTGCCGTGTCGACGGGAATGTGGCGAAGAGCAGCGTCCCGACGAGCCCTCCGACAAGCGGCACGGCAGTTAGCACCTGCCGCGTGTCGTACGACATGACAGGGTTGAAACACGCCCCGACATTCCTATCGAACATGGCCACGGACATGAACACGATGAGGGACAGGAACGCGTGGAAGAAGTCGATGAACTTTAGCCGTTTCTCGGCGGCTTTCTCCGGCGGCGGCGGCGGCGTGCCGTCGATGACCCACAGCCCCCGGCGAGTAGCCACCACGTACCGCACGGTCCCCTTGGCGTCGTGGAAGCTGTCCGTGAAGCAGAGGAAGAAGCACCCTGCGGCGCAGAGCTCCACGAGCCAGGCCGTCATGACGCGGTTCACGTCGTCGCACTTGCCGCCGTTGGTGAACACCGGCGACAGCACCTGGAAGACGAGCACCGCGCCAGTGGGGAGGTGCTTGGCCAGCTCCGCGGTGCTCCGGAACGCCTGCGCCATTGCACGCTCCAGCCTCGTCGCCTCGTCGTCGGTGGTACTGGTAGCCCCACCGTCGTCTCCCAGTCCCTCGTCGTGGCTGTCGCCGTTCGGCTCAGCCAGGAGTGGCTGGGTCTCCGGCGCCACGTGCTGGCCGTCGGAGATGCCAACAACGACGGAGCCTGAATTTCTCCCCACTGATGAAGCTCCAGCAGAAGAAGCCGGCACGGCAGTTGCCGGAGCCGATGCAACGGCGGCAGCAGTCGGCGTGGGCTTCTGGGACTCGAGATCAACTTGTTTCCTGGATGCCATCGTGCGGACGAATAACCAAGATCGAATGGTTCTTTGTGGATAGAGTATATAAGTTGGTCGATGTTGGGAAAGAGTGGGTTTGTGGCATGCAAGTAAGTGTTGTGTTAAGCGCAAGCAAGAGGAGACTTGCAAGCAACCCGTCAATGTTTTCAGTTCATATGGAGGACCTCGTCTGGCTTAGCATTGGGGTAGTCTGCGAATGGAAGACAAATGAACGATATGCAATTGCGACGTTGCTATCATTGAGAGCGAGAGTCTGTGATTTTTGAATGCACGATCGATGTTTATATATACATATAAAATTGCCACGGACAGTGGCAGGAACCCTCCCAACGTTAAATTACTAATCACAACTCGAAGAGTCTGAACGTGTCCAGCTGGGTTTAGACTTGGCAAAATTGACCGTCTGAATGGGTTTGGTCACAGAATGGCTAACATGATAAGGTCGCAAACGTCGGGTGCCAACATGCACGTGTAGCACGTCTTGGTTGGACTGAATATGCTTTATTCCTCTGACCAAAAGCAAGCACCAGATTTATAATGGGCGATCGATACATCGCCATCCTGTGGCCTAAGCTACAGGCTGTTTGATTCAGAATTTTGATTCCCTCTTTTTTTTATTTGCACAGGATTAGCTAACCTTGGGCCTTCTCCCTGTGCGCCGGCCGCTGGCAAAGTTACCTCCAGGAAACATTGGCTGCTCAAGTTCCCTGTAACTACTACACAAAATCTTTTAAACAACATTTGGCATTTGGGCTCCGAGGCTGCCCGCCTCGGTTATTCGAGGCCGGACAGCCAGGCCAGCAACCGCCTTGGTTAATCCTTAACCGAGGCGGGCGCTGTAAAGAAACCGTCTCGGTTAATACATATTAACCGAGGCAGTTATCTAAGGCGGCTTTTATAAGAAACCGCTTCGGTTAATCGACATTAACCGAGGTGGTTGGGTTATGGAAACCGTTAACCGAGGCGTTTGCTATTCGGTTAACTGGGGATTAACCGTGGTGGTTTCGTTACAATGACCGCCTTGGTTAAGTCTGGGCTATAAATGCAGCCGCACCCACCCTTCTTCCCTGCGGCTTCTCCTCCATTTTTAGGGTTTTGACCTCAAAACTCTAAAAGTGGCCATTTTCTAGGGTGAGAGATTTTGCCCTTGGATTTGTTGAAGGGGGGCACCGCAAGAGGTTGATTCTCGCTCTTAAATCCTCAATCCTCTCTCTTTTTCCATGATTTGGTTGCTTTTCTCTAGATCTAGATCTAGATCCTTATAGAGAAGAGAGAAAATCAGATCTAGAGCTACCCGGCTGCTTTTTTCCATATTGCTCTGCTTATATGTGTCATTTTCGTTGTTTGTATGTGCAAGGTTTCGCAGTCATGGACAGGGAATGGATGTACAAGACATCGAGGCTGCATCCTTCGTACCTAGAACATGTGACAAAGTTTATTGCCGCTACGAAAAGCCATCGCCTAGGTCTAAAGTGGGAACACATCGTCTGTCCGTGTAATAGCTGCAAGAACCTTCTACTGCACGAAGATAACGTGGTGAAATCTCACTTGGTCCGGTATGGTTTCGTCAAGGATTACACCGTCTGGAAGTTTCACGAGGAAGCAGAGGATCCGAGTGCTGGTGCATCTGGAGGAAACTTGTCGACAACGACGACGGTAGCAGTGAATGCAGAACAACAAACCTCATCAGCAGCGACCGGCGGGCACGGCAATGCTGCTACTTGCGACAATAATAACGCAGATCGTGATGACATCACGATGGACGATCTGCTCCAAGACACGGCTGACGATGATGGCGGTGGGGGCGGCGATGCTGGGGATGGAGGTGAGCCTGTGAGGGATCCCGAGACCGTGGACTTTTTGAGTCAATCGCTAACCATCTTGACCACGATGACATTCTGTTTAGTAGCCCGAGTTGGCTAGAGAATTTCAGAGAGATGAAGCAGGCGACAATTGATCCCCTCAATAAGGATTGTCCGAAACACTGGACGGCGTTGCGTTTTAACCTCCAGATGCATATGCTGAAGGCTCGCCATGGCTGGTCCGACACTAGCTTCAATGACCTGTTAGGTATCCTTGCTGACACATACCCAGAGAGTAACAAGGTGTCCGCCAATACCTACCGGGCGAAGAAGTTGATCCGTCCAGTGGCGATGAAGCTTAAAAAGTTCCATGCCTTCCCTAACCACTATATCCTATATCGGGGCATGTATGAGAACTTGCAGAGCTGTTCGCACTGTGGCGCGAGTCGATACAAGAGGAATGCCGGTTGTCGCGTAGATGCGGACGACGAGAGAGGGCCAAAGAAGAAGAAGACGGCTAAGAAGAGTACCGCGAAGAAGCAGATCCCGTCTCCTGAGGACGAGAATGAAGAGGGTTACATGCAGAGGAAAAGTCCGGCCCTGTCGATGTGGTACCTGCCCATGATCGATCGCCTACGTGTTATATTCGGGAACCCCGAGGATGCCAAGCTAATGTCCTAGCATGCATCTGATGAGTGCACGAAGGATGATGGCAAGCTACGGCATGCTTCCGGTGGCAAGTAGTGGAAGCGCTTCAACGCCAAGTTCCCGTTGTTTGGCGACGAGGCGAGGAACGTAAGGTTCGCGCTAAGTACCGATGGGATGAATCTGTTCGGTGACCTCAGCAGCTCGCACAACACTTGGACGGTCATCATCGCCATCTACAACCTACCTCCCTAGCTATGTCAAAAGCGCAGGTATCTTTTACTAACCATGATTATTTCTAGACCTAGGTAGCCAAGCAATGATATAGATGTGTTCCTGGAGCCGCTCATGGAGGACTTGAAGATACTATGGAAATATGGGGTCAAGATGATGGATGTGTTTCTAAAGAAGGAGTTCACTCTAAAAGCCATCATCTTTGTCACCATCACCAATTACCCTGGTCTTTTTTCATTGTCAGGGCTGATCAAAGGTAAGTCAGGTTGCGTAGTTTGCATTGACGGTACTTGCTACACTTACCTTAGTGCATCCAAGAAGATGGTGTACATGAGGCATAGGCGATTCCTCATAAAAAAGCACAGGTACCGGGCAACTATGATGAATAAGTACTTCGACAACCAGGAGGAGCCTCAACTTGACGAGCCAGAAAGGACGAGGTATGGGCAAAAGGTGTTTGACATGGTGAAGGGCATAGACGTTGAGTTCGGGAAGAAGAAGAAATAGGAAGATGGGACCATGACAAGGAATAAGAGGAAGCAGGATAAGATGGAGGAACCACCTGTCGCGCCCATTCCTTTCAAGAAGCAGTCGTGTTTCTTCAAGTACCTGTTGTACTAGAAGGAGCTAGATATGCCCCATGCCATCGAATACATGCACCTCGAGAAGAATGTCTTCGAAAGCACCATTGGCATACTACTAGACATCAAGACTAAGACAAAGGATGGTCTGAAGTCATGGATGGATCTTGTCAACGAGGACATCAGGACCGAAATTCACCCGACATCGGCGATGTAGAGCGGGAAAGTCGACCTTCTGGGGGCGAGCTACAACCTGACAAGAGATGAAAAGAGGGCCATGTGCTAGTGGCTTAGGGGTGTCAAGGTGCTGACCGGTTTCTCTTCCAACATCAAGAGCCTGGTCTCGATGAAGGACCTCACACTAACTAGCTTCAACGCACATGACTGCCACGTCATGCTCACAGTGTTCCTTCCAATTGTGATCAGGGCTATCGGTCCAGAGTACGTGAAGATGGTCATCACACGCATGTCCTACTTCTTCAACTGCATCACACAGAAGGTCATCGACGAAGCTGAGCTGCCTGGCCTGAAATAGTTCATCGTAGAGACTCTTTGCCAGCTCGAGATGTGCTTCTCGCCATCTTTTCGATATTATGCCACACCTCATGATGCACATGGTTGATCAGATAAAGGAATTGGGCCCCATATACTTGCACCAGATGTGGACGTATGAGCGGTTCATGTCGACCCTCAACAGATACGTCCTTAACTGTGCCTACCCGGAGGGCTCTATGATCGAGGCATACACAACCGAGGAGGCTGTTAACTGCTGCACCAGGTACATCCAGGATGGAAGCGTGATTGGCTTGCCCGTCCCTCAGCACGAAGGTAGAACCTCGAGAATGGGTTGCATGGGGAGGAAAGTACGCACCGATGTATAGTACAAAATGGTGCAAGAAGCTTATCGTAGCGTCCTCAATCAGCTAGTGGTTATGGAACCATATGTTGACAAGCACCTAGAGGAGATCCACGCCGCTCATGGCAGACAGCGCACGGAGGCATGGGTCCAGAAATAGCACAAGATCAATTTCACGACATGGATCAAAGAGCTACAGGACATACCCCGTGGAGAGTCCAATGAAGCGAGGCTTGTGTCCAACCCATCCACCCAAATCACCACGTGGCAAGGGTATGACATCAATGGATACAGGTTCCACACAAAAGGAGAAGAACAAGCAGAGCGCGGCACAGAACAATGGTGTTCGATATGAGGCATTCACGAGTCAACTGGGAAGACCAAGACATACTTTGGGTAGATTGAAGAGATATGGGAACTTGATTACGGCGGTGACCTACAGTTAGCTGTCTTCCAGTGCTAGTGGGTCAAACCAAAGGGGGTTGTCATGGACAACTATGGGCTAACCACCATGGAGCTCCAAACTGTCAGCTACAAAGATGATCAATGGGTACTAGCAAGCCGCTGCGCGCAAGTAGCCTACTAGCCGATGCTCAAAGATAGCAAAAAGCACGTGGTTCTTTCCAGAAAGCATAGGATTGTGGGAGCTGATGGAGTCCAGAGCCCCGAAGAACCCTAGCGGCCGTCTTCCCCGACTCTGTCCGTCTTCCCTGGCTCCGTCCCTCTTCCCTAGCTCCGTCCGACATACCCCAGGAACCCTAGTGTGGTTGTCTTCACTGACTCCGTCCAACGCCATCCGAGGTTCATTGATCCCCTTTACTGCCTATGATGCTTGGACCTATCTATGATGCCAAATTATGTGTTCTGCGTATGATGCCT